AGCACATAACCTTATTGGGCCTAAAGCCCATTTCGAACTGGGCTGATTTGATCAGTCATTATTAAGGGGCGGATCTGAGATTAGGATGAGCCCAAAAGTTTATCTAATCTGTAGATAGGATTAAGAAGAGTCCTAATCCAAATACAGATTTGGATAAGGGGCAACTCCTGATATGATCGGGAAATTCTTTCTTAATCATTAAGCAACTGGAAGAAACCCTAATCGAATTACATGAATTCGAACCCTAGGGAGACAGAACACACACTCTGTAGTTTTATGAGATTGGATCTCAGAAATCCTAGAGAAAAGAAAAGCAGTTCGCCATCTATTTCTCAAGTTTCCTCCAGTTGCAGCCGCCACCATCTGTCACAGTTTGTTTCTCTCTGTCAGAGAAAGATCAAAAAAGGTTTTTGATATCAGTCTTTGTTGAAAGGCTGATTCAGTTTGGTGCTCATTGTCATCCAAAGGATTCTTGTAAAGGATTCAATGTGTAGGACGCACCCTGCTGGTTCTGTTCCACAGTTGTTGTGTCATCTTCAACAGAAGCAGATCTTGGTTCCTTCTTTGGGCGTGAATACCAACTTTGGGAGAAATTTTTTTCTTTGGATCAGGTATAATTACTCCCTTCACTTTTGGTTCAGATCTGGTTCGGTTCTGGTTCAAGTATGATCCTTGAATCTTGATTCTAAAATTAGGGAATGTGATTCCCAATTGAAAGGCAGGTAGAAAATTTTTGAAATTCGCCCACCTATTCCGTAACCCTTTGGCATCCATACGATGGATTCTACCATCCCTTTCAACACCAATGTAAATAATCCTTACTTATAAAAGAAAAAGTTAACATGATTGAGTTGTTACATTTGTTGGTCAGCAATCTTCAAACATTCACCAACATACAAGTCTCTGCCTGTTACAAAATAAAATTCTTCAAATAGTAGCTTATTGGTCCAATTAGAAATATACATTTAGTATGCATCTTGAGAATAGGTATTTCGTTACTGAAGCATGGTTTGTAACCAGAAATAATAAGTGTTTCTAGACCATTCTACAAGGGTTCCTAGCTTGAACTTGATGAAATGGATCTCGTATCATAATCTTAACAGAAATACAACATTGTACTAACGTGTAACTTTGCATAGAATTATAAACTATCAGAAAGGTGCATAATGTAGGTAACTAGATATACACATAAATAATAAGAGAAAGAAACATAGTACCTTAACATCATGTGATAATCATCATGCCTTTCAGGTAGCAATTCATCCAAAAGCAGAGTTTGTCGAAATGCTTCTACAGCCCTTAGTTCCTCCACATCTCGGACATCCTCTATTGAAACCGAAACAACTCGACCATCACTTTTCCTCCTACTCTTTTTCTTAAGAGAATGCCTGAATCTAGTAGATGCATTTATTGCTTTCTTCTTCAAAGAACCAATTCTCGTCTTCCTTTCATCCTCTGAATTTTCAAAATCAGATTTCCTTTCTCTTCTTTCATCATGGCCAGCGAACCCCTCAAAACCTGTATGATAGTACAAATTCATTCATGAAATATTGAATAACAAACATTTCATAGAAACTCCAATCTCCAGGATAAGCATTGGTACAGAAAGGTGCTTCATCATGATCTAACATAAATAGCTGCTTTCAGTGTTACAATTATGGTTAGCAGTTCCTAATTTTCATTATCAGAAAGAAGAAAGAAAAGAAGTATAAATAATGAAGCAGAATTTAAACTAAACTTAATAAGTAAAGTTCACAAACAACCTAAAGTTTAGAGTATGATAGGGAAAAAAAGAGACAGAAGCACATTAGCATATTTAATACAAGTCCCCCCCACCCGGCAAAAAAAAAAAGAAAGAGAAAAAGAAATCAAGCTTGAAGCATGAAAAGCCGCAACACACAATAGAGAATATGCTCAAAATCGAAGATTAGGAATCAAATTGCCCAAAAAGAAAAAAAGAATAAAAAATAATTCCACAAGGTTGAAGTTGAAACAATTTCGTCTAATAAGCAACTGCTGGTTTAAAGCGAATACTGTGAAGATTGCAATTGCTCGAACTACAGAGACACCTATGATAAAAATCTTAAAAGACCAACTGGGAAACATTGGAGTATCTTCAAATTTCCATTAAACTAAAGTCCTACGACTTGAAGCATATAGACTACGGAACTCTGAAATACAATATGCAATTATAACAAACCAGAAAGGGGAAAAAAGAGATAAGAAACATAGAAATTTTCAAATTGTGACTATATAACTCCAAGGCTAAATAATTGAGATCAAAATAACCAATTAAAAAATGTCCTCGAACTTTGAAGAACAATGCCAAATTTCCCTAAATAATTCCTAGCATGAAGCTACTTAATTTAGTAAATTTCGAACAAACCAAGCCCGAAGACCACCCTATCGAAGTCAATAATCACTGCCGGTCAACAACCACTACCAGAAACAGAAAACAAACGGCTTACAAAAATAGGCGAAACCCTAGAATCCGCAAAATCAACAAATAAGAATGACAAGAAACCACAAAGACGCAGCAAGCAAAGCGGGAATACTCACAGGGCCTGGCGAACCGATCCAGCGGTCCCGACATCCCTACTTTACCAATCGAGATGGGAAAATCTGTAGCCGATAGAATCAACCATGCACCACCCCACAATCAGAAACCGTAGAAAGACCTACATTCCGATAAGAAGCCCTGAACAACACCAAACCATATAAAAAATGCATCAAAAAACCAAAAAGAAATCCTCGAATCGTTAGTAACGAGGAGAGGAATCAAATGGTCATAAATGCTTGGATTGATACCTTCAAGGTTTCCACCCGTAACAGATCCTTCAAGCATTAATCGAAGAATCTCTCTGATAGCATAGGGCGATACATATAGAAACAGAGAGAGAGGGGGGGGGGAGGGGGATCGGGCCGTCAGGCATCAGCTCAGGGGGTGGGAAAGAAAAATTGATTACCAAAAAAACATATAAAATAAATAAATATCAATAGTTGTAATTTGTAAATAATGGAAATAAATTCGAAAGAATTGATGGAATGGAAGAGACAGGCGATATAGGGGGAGGAGGAGGGTTCAGGCTAGGGCGGAGATAGTGTACTGTACGAATTATAATTGATGTCTGTTGTTTGTTTTCTCTTTATTGTCGCGTGGGACCATTCACACGGGATCGTATTCCACGTGGCGACTGAAGTAACATGCCGACGGCAGCTGTAGCCCCCTGTAGACTGTAGTATTACTCCTGCCAACTCAGGGTAGTAAAGTAAAACAACTCAGAGTAGTTATATGATCCCTAGACCAATGGATTAGAATCTGTAGAGAGGGTTTTAGAAAGAATCCCTAGACCAAAACACCCAATCCAAGAGATCCATTCCGTGAGCTGAGACGCTGAAGAGTTGAGTTGCCGACTTGTGGTTGTGGTCCTAACTCCAAGGGGCAAGACGAGTTGAGAGTGAAAAGTAAAAACTGAACTGAATACACGTTTTTGTCCTTTCAAACCTAACGTAAGGGTATGTTTGGCTAATGGCATAATATCAATACACCCGCCAAGTTATCATGCTCTCTAGACTCGTAGTCGTAGAAAATTAGAAATGCCACGGCTGGGCTACTATTTACTAAAATAATGTGAGTTGGAAAAACGAATGGAAACCAAACACACCTCGACAGAATCCACTATTCTGGGATTCCAGGGGTGAAGAAGGCTTGAAGGGCCTGTCAGCTGTCGCTTTATTTTAGCTTTTAAGTTATTAAATATTAAGCGCGAAAGGTATGTCTCAGCTTTCAACTGTTTTTTTAATGCAGAAGTGATGAACATTGGACAAACATCTCACCTAGTCACCTTATTCTCTCTCTCCCTCTCTCGTAAGCCAATAAAAAGTCTGGATAAATTAAGCCAAATTATGGGATGATTAAACAATGTATCAACATTACATATTGTTGTGGTTTGGTAAAACGTAAAATATTAGTTGGCCGCTTTTAGCAAGCTTGTCCATTTTCTATGTACGTGTTTGGCCATTATTTTAAAGACGTTTTTGGAGAAATCGGTATTGTATGCATGAAGGTTTGTTGTATCATTTTTCTATAAAATGGCTTCTTTTTATTTTGTTTGGTATTAATGTTGTCACATAAACTATTTTTCTGAGAAAACAGCACTGGTTTTGTTTGGTACCAATGTTGTATAATCGCTTTCAGCATTGGTATACATTATTTAATGCCCAAGATGATGCTACATCGATACCATGTCATTATATTGCTGACAGCAATGAACAGTTTTTGAGAAAATATCGAATTTAACATTTCTTTGGATTACACTTTTTCGATTTTCAAGGTGCGGTATAGAATAACGTTTCTTTTTTTTAAGTGATGCCAAATAAGAGGCCGTTTTTTAAAATATGACTTTTTTTTATGTGGCACCATTTTCTCAAAAAATGGCATTAATGCCAAACACCACCGATACATCATAGTGCATACAGGATAGAGAGAGGACAAATGAGAATTAAAGCACTTCAACCACTGGTACTGGGAAAGAGACAGGTTCCATTAGTGAAAAAAAGGCTTTTCCTAGGATTGATGCTCTTAATTCTCTCAGCTTGTAAATACAAACATAGATTGGTGAAAAATAAAGTACATAATTTTTTTCTAACAAAATAGAAAACCCATACACCATTAACTGCATTGAATTATCTTGTTATTAAACACTTATTCTAGACTAAACTTTAAATATGAAAAAAAAAACAAGTCATCATATCGTAAAATATTCATTATTATTCTAAAAAACCAAGGTTTAGGCTGTATTTTGCATTCTTTATTTTAAGAATTTATCTCTTTTTTGCAATTAAAAATTTATTGTCCTATAAATAAATCCTTAAAATAAAGAATGCCAAATACAGTCTTAATCATCAAAATAAATAAATTGTATTGTTGTTTTAAGAGGGGGGGGGGGGGGGGGGGGGGGGGGTAGGATGAATTATAAATTCTGACCCAACACAAGTAAACAATAACTTGTACCAAAACAGACAAGAAGCGGACAGTGGACAAGCACCAAAGCGCATAAATAAATATTGTGTTGGAAGAGAACAAATCACCGACACCGCAAATGTAATATAATGGCTGGCTATAACCCTTCTCTCTCAAGAATGAAAAGGCAAATGTGTGGTTAAAATGAGCCAACTCGGGGTCGGGGCAGCTGTTGTTTCTTGTGCAAACGATGATACACTTTGTTTGGTGGACTAACGTGTCGAGATCATTTATTTTATTTTTAACTGAAGACCCGAAAATATCTTTCACGTGCCCATGTAGTTGGTGTCCCCAAAGGGCCCCCCTTCGTCACACTCACTGCTTGTTATGCAGGAGGCAGATTTCCTTACCATCTGGCTCTTCACATTCAGATGCAAAAACCCCTAAATTTAAAACCCACTGAATTTTCAATTTTTGACTGCTTTACGCCATAACTTCCAAACAAACAAAAAATGCATATCAAAATCCAATTGCCAGCAGGGTTGGGGGTTAAGGGGTGTGGGTTGAACATTAAAAATTAAATTTATTTTTAACTTATGTATATTAAATTAATGTAAATATAAAATACTGAATTTATTACATATTATTTTATATATTTTAATTTATAAAATTATCTAATTATATATATACATATATATTATAAAAATAATTGAATTCAATTATTAATTGAATGCAAATTGTAAAACTTGAATCCAATCCATATCCCATTATGAGATAATATTGGACTTTCAGAGCTTGTTAATAGTCCTATTTGTAATTTGTAATTGGACTACCGGGTCCAACACGATTATAAATTTTGTTTTGGTAACAGGAGCTTTATTAAATCGGTAAGAAAAATAACACCAAGGAGGATGCAATTCCTCCTAGGAATTTCAAAAAAAAGGGCTGAAACTACTATTTTTTATTTGGTAGCCCATAAACCCCCAACTCAGGCGCACGCGGGATTTAATCCCAAATCTCTATTACAACCGGTAGGAGACCTTACTAAGCTGATGGTTTGGATTTAAAGAAAAAAGTCTTTACGAAGAGGTATTGTCTTCAAATCTGAGACGGCATGGGCTATGGCATTTAGCTCCCAAGAAATGTATTTGAAGCATGGTTTTTAAAACTGGACTGGATTAGACAGTTGGATTGGAAAAACTGGGAATCGGTCATCTGACTGGTTCCATTTTCCCCCAAAACCGTTGATTTTGGTCAATAAATCATTGAACCGGCCAATTAATCATTCGAATGGTTTTGACCATTTTTTAATTTTTTTTTTGTCAAAATAGACCAGCCGTTCAAACCAGTAACCAGACCCTAACCGGTTCGATCACCAATTCATTTGTAAAAACGATGATTTGAAACCCATAGAAGAGAACTTTTGCCCTGCATCAGTCAAGATTTCCTAATAATTTCCCTCTACTCCCCCTCCCTACTAACCCAATAAAATGATTCCAGCTGTCCCTAATTCCTACTTGGTGTAACGATTGACCAACACCTTAATCCCTCCATTAGATATTCTTTTAAAGAAATACCTATTTTTATGCATTAATTAGATATTTCTAATAATAAAAAAATTATCTTCGGTGATCTGTAACTCTTTTGCCATCCATGAACTTGCCTTATTCGGCTTAAAAAAGAAATAAAAATAAAAATATCTATTTTAATTATACGCAAATCCCCATTCTCTCTTTTCCACTTATAATGTTCATTGAAACTCTATCGTTGTTCTGTTCAATGAAAGCTTCTTTTCGATTTCTCCAAGGATCAATAAATAATTGTTAACTGGTTCAGCTTTCAAGCTGTGGGTTTAAACCATATAAAGATCAAACTGAGTTCTTTTCTTTTGCAAAGGACACTGTACACATTCAATTTCCTCCTATATATTGGATTTTTTTTTCTTGTTGCTGTCGTTGAAGATGTTGGGAGAAGTATAACTTTTATGTTTTTATGAAGAATATTAAGAGGGTTTTTGGATTGTGGGAAAATTTTGAATTACTTGTGATAAAATAAAAAACCTTCAGTTCCAAGCAGATAATTTCTAGAAGAGGCAGGGCAAACAATTGAGAAAGAAGATTCAAATATTGATAGGTAGAACGAGAGAATTTGTATTACTTTTTCTATCTATTAGTGTGGAGTGTGGCTAGAGCCTTTGGGCTTTTTGTATATTAACGATCAAGCACAAAACAAAAGATTTCTTACAAGAGACGAAGAGAGGAAAGAGAATGGGGAAGAAGAATTTGGGCTTAAATGAAATATCTATTTTTTAAAAAAGGTTTAATTAATGTTTGAAGAATCGATATATTTTAAAAAGAGTATTTAACGGAGAGGTTAAGCTCTTGGTTAGTTGTTACACTAAAGTTTAGTTGGACTCGTGGAATCATTTTATTGGGTTAGTAGAGAGAAGTTAGTAGGAAATCCGGACAGACTTGGTATACTCCGTTACTACTAGAGAAATAGCACTACAGACAATACTTCTCTCGAGTCTAGCTGGGGTTTACCAAATAACATTATGGCAGCTTTTGGCCTTCTAGAGGAACCAATAGATAAAAGGCAAGAATGGCTATGTAGATCTCCCGTTCATCAGCCTGTGGGATATCTAAGATTAACCACTACATCACCCATTGGTCAATATCACTCAACATAACCTACTGACTGGACTCACTTGGCCAATTTGCACAAGCTAAGGAACACTTAAAAGGCTGTCTTTGGCTGCAATGCAAATAAGTTTGCACTCATGCAGAACCATGACAGTGCAAATGATTACAGTATAAATTCTGACTTATTTTTCTTTCAAAATTTAGCTTATTTTGGTTGATTGCATTACAAATGAAATAAATTAAGACATGAAGCAGAATAAAGTAAAATCCAAAACAAAATTAAACAATAATTTACACTTTTTTACATTTGCACTCCCATGCATTTGTACTAGTGAAAACAAATTTGCACTACAACCAAGCACAGCCTAATGGAATAGATTATTCAAGTCTTAGATGTTAGTTTTTATTTCTCTCTCTTAGGCTATGTTTGGTTTGAAGGAAAAGGTAGGGAAAGGTAGAGAAACTCATACAAGGTTTGTAAAGGTTTCCCTACCTTTCCCTACTTTTTCCTTCAAACCAAGTGCAGCCTTAGTGACTGCGGAACTACTACTGCACCCGAGCAGATTCTCCATATAAAGGTCCGCATTTTAGAAGAGCACAAGGCTGACCATCAAAAACTAAAAAACCAAAATAACGAACCAGACCGACAAAATCAAGTTAACTGAATTGATCGGTTTGGTGTGTGTGTGTGTGTGTGTGTGTGTATTCATATATATTTATATATTATGTGTTATTTATAATATATATTTCTATTATTTGTATTATATAATTATATATTTATTTACAACATATACTCTATACTACCTATAAAAGAGCAAATTCCCCTTTTTTTTGAAATTTTCATTAGACATTTTCTACCCCTCTTGTCTAAGCACAAAGCGGGCATAAAGAGGGCATATATGTCCTTTATTCTCACTTTAAAAATTGTCCGCTCATAACTGTTCAGAAACTACCCACTTAAAAGTTATAACCATTTAAAAACTGTCCATAATTATAAATAGTTTTGTCTTAGAGATACTGCCATGTGCATATACATTTACTAGTAATATTAAATATTAAAAAAACCAAAAAATCAAAGAACTAAACTGATCAATCGGTTAACCGAACCATGAGCACTCCTAAAAGGGCCTCTATCTTCCATATTGCACTCCAAATAGGTTTAACTAATACAAATGACTGCTAGTATTTGGACTCGAGGTGGTATGAACCTATTCTTCCGATCTTTTATGTTTGATTCCGTGGACGTTTATCGGAAAAACGCCACCACATAAGCATTGGTGTTTATTGCATATGAAACCACTATTTGGTTTCACCGCTTGTCAAATAAACACCAAAAACCGAAACACTTTGATTTATATGCATGGGGTATCCGGGGAAACGTTAATTCTCATTTCCCCCAATGGCCCCAACATTTCTTGAAATAAAATGCTTATGTGGCATACTTTATGGGGTGTTAATTTGAGGTGGAAAGTAAAAAACGTTTCAAGTAATGCTTAACCAAACAACAAAGACAAGAAATGTTTAAAGTGAAAAATATTTTAAAGTAAAGTTGTACAAATAAATGTTTAAAACAACAAATAGCCCATCTCACAGAACCAAATATATGCTAAGTGATATCCTGATTTAACAAATTAGCATCCTTACTTTTTGAAGGCCCGAATCAACCTGTTTTTCATCCATCTTCTAGAGGAATGGCTACAATAGCCAGGCTTTTTGCTTTCATCCAACATAACTCCACCAGTACTTAAAATGTTGAATCAAGTAAGTGGGAACCACTGTTGGTACAACTTTCACTACTCTCTTCGAGTGAGACAGAGCTCTCTCCCCCTTACTATGTTGCACATGACTTGAAAGTCCCAGATATTTGGATATACCTCTTTTCTCCTTCATACCCAGAATACAAGACATGTGCCTTTTGAATCTTATTGGTTGTTGGTAGGGGTGTTCATTATATGGTCTTAGACCGCCAAACCACACTAAACCAAACCTTAATTGGCAACTTGGTCTAGTTTGGCCCTAAAACAGTTTGGTTTGGTCTGAAAATTCTTCAAAATGTATTTTTTTGTTTGGTTTCGTTTTCTAAATTTAGAAATCAGACTAAACCATAAATCGCATCAAACCAAATTATTGATAATACATTTATTAATGTATATAATATATAATACATCTATACTACTTATAAAAGTGTGAAAGAGGAGGTATTGGCTTCTCGAATTTTTCTTTACAAAAATACCCCTACTCTTGAATTTAGTTCATTTCCATTGAAATGGCAGAAAGTGTAATTAAAAGAATACCATTAAGTACATTCAATTACCTCTCATTAAGTCTCACATTTAAGTCATTAAATAAATCACATTATTAATAGAATGAAATATTATATTTTTAAAATAAACATAAAAATGAAATCATATTTTTCATCTAGGTGGTGAGTAAGTAGTTCAACCATTTAGGTCAAATGGATAAATTCATGATGTCATAAATAAACAATACAATTTTAGAAATATAAAAAATACTTTTTTTATCATCATTAAATTCCACTAATAAATCCATACACAATAATTATTAATAGAATAATGTTTTAGATTTTTAAAATAAACCTAGAAATGAAACATATTTTCCATCTAGATCGTGGGTAAGTATTTTAACCATTCGGGTCAAATGGATAATTTCATGATGTCATAAATAAATAATACAAATTTAGAAATATAAAAAATACTTTTGTTTATCATCATTAAATTCCACTAATAAATCCATACACAATAATTATTAATAGAATGAAATTTTATATTTTTAAAATAAACCTAGAAATTAAATCATATTTTCCATCTAGGTCGTGGGTAAGTATTTTAACCATTTGGGTCAAATGGATAATTTCATGATGTCATAAATCAATAATACAAATTTAGAAATATAAAAAATATAGAAAAAAAAAGAAATTTAAAAAAAATATATACTATTTTAAAATAGAATAGTACAAAAAATATGAAACAATTTTGGGCACATATATAATATTATATACTAATAATATAAGTAAAAATATGTATAATAAGTAATAATTGTTTTATCAATGATATAAATGAAATAAAAATTTTAAAACTAGTTTGAAAATGAAACCATTTTCATGTCTAGATGGTAGGTAGGTCAATGATCTAACATTTCGGGTCAAATATCTTTGATGTCATAACTAAGTAATGGATATTAAATACATATATACATATATACATATATACATATACATATACATACATACATATATATATATATATATATATATATATATATATATATATNTATATATATATATATATATATATATATATATATATATATATATATATATATATAAACTCAAAGAAAAATATAAGCTTGTATAAAACAAGGTTTTCAAAAATGAGCAGGAAATAGAACTGGTCAGCGGACCGGTTTTTGGTTAAGCGGTTCAACCATTCGGGTCGAACGGTTCAACCCGTGACATCATAGATAAATTAAAAATATATATATATTTATAAATAATAATAATAATAAATAGTATAAAATTAAATATAAAATAGAAAAAAATACAATAAAATATAAAAATAAAATACAAAAAAAACAAAAAATACAGAAAAAAATAGAAAAATAAAACCATAAAACTTCAATAGTAAATCTCTCTCTCTCTCTCATTGGATGGTGGAGTAACTTTGACTAACCACTGTGAATCCTCCATCTACTTCGTCTAAAGCAAGAAATAGAGCAACCTCTACTATATGGGCAGGTTTTAACACAGTGCCCTTCAAGTTGGCTGCAGCACAAGTGACAACTTCCATTCTATCTAGGTCTAGATTGTAGGCATCGCAGGCCAATGGGGTAGTGACTTTGAAAGGGGAGATGCGGTTGACCATGATGCCATGAGCCCCTAGCTCACTACAGGTTGACTGGACCATCCCCACCAATGCATGCTTAGAAGTGGTGTATGTACGAGGAGCAGAACCACCCAAGGCTGCTGCCACAGTTGCAGTGCAAATGATCGAGCTGCATATCTTTCTCTCCACCATAGCTCGACCTGCGTGCTTAATCGTCGATGCCACCCCTTGCACATTGGTGAGAATGGTGTTGTCAAACTCTTCCATATACATCTCTAGAATGCTACTTAGAGAACCCAAGATCCCTACTGATTGTCACAAGTGATAGCCACTGCAAGTGGTTGTAACTATTACTGCTGCTAAAAACCCTCACTCGCCGCTGCAAAATCGTCGGTTGCCGCTACAAACTTTGTCGCAAGCAAGCTCGCCATCCGCCGCTGCAAGTGTTAGCTGCCGCAAGGCCCGCTAACTCTTACTACTGCCTGCAAGTGTTGCTCGCTACCTGCAAGTTTGCCGTCGCCGATCATTGTTGGTCAATGTATGTCGTCGTCGGACGCCGGAGGTGCTGGCCGCCGTAGGTGATCGGTTGGGTGTGAGGGTTGAGAGGAGGGAACTCGGGAAACCCTAAAGCTAAAGGGACTAAACATTTGAACTGGGTTGGGGAGAAGGTATTTTATTTTTTGTTTTTTTATTTAAAACATTGAAAATAAAAAGAGTAACCCACGAACTGCTGCACGGGGTGAATGGTTTAGTGGTCCGACCACCCAGGTCAAAGGTTTTCTGACTTTTTCAACAGTTTTTAGAAATTTCCGGTTTTTAGTAAAACCAGACCTAGGGGTTGATCGGTTACTGGTTTTTCCGGTCAGACCATCCGGCCTGGATTGGTTTTGAAAACCATGGTATAAAACATTTTGATACAATTCTATTGTTATATATTCACCATATTAAACAAAAATAAATGTGAAAATAAGAATTACTTTTATCAATGATGAAAATGGAATACATGATTTAAAATCAACCAAAAAAGCAAAATGGCTTTTTCGTCCAAGTGGTGGGTTAGTGGTTAAACTATCCATGTCAAATGGATGTTATTATTAAATAATAAAATACATAAAATTCTAGAAAAATATAAAAATTTTTCGATAATTTTGGGTACATTCTATAATATTATATATTCAACATATAAAAAAGTGTGATGAATGAAAATTATTTTCATTAATCATTAATGATAGAAATGGGATAAAAATTAGGATAAAAAATAAAAAGCATTAATGTCTAGCACATGACCCGACTAACCATGTCAAATGATTCAATAATTTAAATGGCTAGGTCATCATAGGCAAATGGAGTGGTAGGGATGCAAATAGATCATATCATATTTGAATTAAGGGTATATTCAAATCTAATCCGATCCAAAGATTCGACCATATCTCATAAATATTGATTCAAATCCAAATCCGATCAAGATGTTGGATATTCGAATTTGATACGATCCAATTTAATTTTTTTTAAAAGTAATAAATTATTAAAAGAAAAGAAAATTATAAGTTGAAATAAAAAAACAAAAAATATAAGTATTTTCTCAACTATTTCCATCATATAAAAAGTTTACAAAAATGCAATATAAATAACATATTTATAAATAAATAATAAATAACGTATACATTATGTATATATATATATATATATATAATTGATTTGACCATAATATTAAAAATCAATTATATTATATTAGAATTGCATTTCCTCTTGGTAAATAAGTAATTTTTATTATCTCATAAATTAAATAATAAAAAATAAATATAGATTTTTTATAAATTTTATAAGAAAATTTAAACATACATTAATATTATATATTCTTCATATTAAACAAAAATATGTTTGAAAAATGAGAATTATTGCTAGTAAAGATAGAAATGGCTAAAATATAAAGAAAAAAATGAATTAATGTCTTAATCATAGTCCATTTTCCTGTTTAAATAGGTTAACAATTCAACCAATAAGGTCTTTTGGTTACTAATTATTATCATCATCATCATTTGATATTTCCATGTGCAAAAATAAGAATTACTTCTATTGATGATGAAAATGTAATACATGATTTAAAATCAACTGGAAAAATTTGTTTTTTTCCATCCAAGTGGTGGGTTAGTGGTTCAACTATCCGTGTCAAATGGACCAACACATGATGTTAATATTAAATAATAAAATAGATAAAATTATAGAAAATATAGAAATTTGTAGATAATTTTGGCTACATTCTATAATATTATATATTCATCATATAAAAAAGCATGATTAATGAGAATTATTTTCATTAATGATAGAATGGGATAAAAATTTGGATAAAAAATAAAGAGAATTAATGTCTAACACTATATGACCCCACTAACCATGTCAAATGGTTCAATGATTTAATTAGCTAGGTCATTGTGGGCAAGTGGTTTGGTAGGGATGCAAACAGATCATATCAATTTTGAATCAGGGTATATTCAAATTTGATTTGATCTAAAGATCTGATCGGATCTCATAAATATTGATTCAAATCTAGATCCGATCAAGATGTTGGATATCCAAATATGATACGATCTAATTTAATTTTAAAAAATTATAAATTATTAAAAGGAAAAGAAAATATAATAGTTGAAATAAAGAAAAACAAAAAATATAAGTATTTTTTCAACTATTTTCATCATGTACAAAGTTTACAAAAATGTAGTATAAATAACATGTTTATAAATAAATAATAAATAATATATATATTATATTATATATATATATATAATTGATTTGACCACAATATTAAAAACCAATATTCAAACAATATATTGGAATTGTATTTCCTCTTGGTAAATAAGTAATTTTTATTATCTTATAAATTAAATAATAAAAAATAAAAATAATTTTTTTTATAAATTTTATAGAAAAATTTGAACATGCATTAATATTATATATTCTTCATATTAAACAAAAATATGTTTGAAAAATAAAAATTATTGTTAGTAAAAATAGAAATAGCTAAAATACAAAGAAAAAAATGAATTAATGTTTTAGTCATAGTCCATTTTCCTGGTTAAATAGGTTAATGGTTCAACTAGTAAGGTCATTTGGTTGCTAACTATTATCATCATCACCCTTTGATATTTCCACGTGCAACGCACATACACTTTTACTATATATTTAAACATACGTATGCATGTATATATTCATTTAACATTTCATACATTTTTGTTGTTTGTTTGTTTTTAAGTTGCAATTCAATGCCAAAGGTAGGGGTGCAAATGGATTAGATTCTGATTCGATATGATCCTATTTTTGTAGGGTTCAAATCTCCCTTGTTCAGACCTTTGGATCAGATTGGATTCGGACCACCCCTATGTGATCCGATTTTTTTATTTATATAAATATATATAACACAAATATGTTATTTATTTATTTGTAAATATATTAGTTATATTGCATTTTTTTTTGTAAATTTGTCATATTAATCATTTTTTTTTATAAAAAACATGTATATATATGATGAAAATAGTTGAAAAGATACTTGTATTTTTTGTTTTTGTTTTTCTAATTATTATATTTGAATTTTCTTTTAATAATTTATTATTTTTTTTAAGAAATTTAAATCAGATCAGATCAGATCCAAAAATCTGACTTCTTCATCAGATTCGAATTCAAATCTATACTTATGGGATCAGATCAGATTCGGATATACCTTGATTCAAATCCGATCCGAACCATTTACATCCCTAACGAAATTAGGAATTGTTTATGTTTGAGAAAGTGTGAATGTAATTTATATAATAATAATAATAATAATAAATGACACTTGTTAACATTTCAATTTGATGTTATTTATTATTTATGTAGGCATGCATTCTATTAGGGCTTTCTAATTGGATTAAGCCCAATAAAATGACCCAAACTATATTAAAAACCAGACCAAACCATAATAAAATAATTTGGTTTGATCTGAAAATTTCTCAAACTATAATTTACTGATTTGATCTAAGATCTTCTCCAAACCAAACCAAATTAGACCATTTTACTGATTTGATCTAATATCTTCTCCAAACCAAACCAAACTGGACCATGAATACTCCTAGGCGTTGGCATTGAAAAACAAAACAAACTTGTCCAAATTGAAGAACTGGCCTGAAGCTTGGCTGTACTGCTATAGTCGGTTAACAGGTTCTTAAGTTAACAATTCTCAATAGAGGCTCTTATAAACAGTAGGTTATCATCATCTGCAAATAGCAGATGGTGAAGAATAGCTTAATAGGAGACCTGTAATTCATGCGTTTCAGACGCCCTGAAGTATACTTTAAATCTGTTATTTGACAAAAAACCTGCCTAGTTAAACTGCCGTATTTGGACATTATGAAAATATAATAATATTACAAGTGTAATCTAATAAAGTTGCAATTGCTTCTTCTTCGAATGTTTTCCCACCTATGACATAGTCAATTTGAAGCCATACCATATAGGACTGCGTTGGATTGGATCGGATAAACAAAAAAGCCACTGTACATATATTTGTATTTGCATTCTTTCCAAAAAGAGTATAAATACAAATATGTACAGTACAAATATATACAAAATACTATAAAATACAAGGTTTTGTACTCTACATATTTGTAATTGTACTCTTTCCAAACTGAGCGTTCAACTCCACCTGAAAAGAGTGCAAACAGAAATATAGTCAGTGCAAAACCTTATATATGATATTTCTAAACCTGAGCCTTAGGCTGTGTTTGGTTGCAACTGATGCAAAACTAAGGTAGTGTAAATGATTTGGGTGCAAATTCTGATTATTTTTCTTTTAAATTTTACCTTATTTTATTTAATTGCAGTACAAATGAAAAAAAAAATAGGACCTGAAACGGAATGAAGTAAAACCCAAAACAAAATTAAACCAGAATCTGCATTCTTTTCATTTGCACTCCAATGCATTTGTACTAGTGCAAATAAGATCGCACTGCAACCAAACACAGCCTTAGTATTTGAATTCAAGTGCAATCATATCCATTGGATTTAGATTTAGATTAGATTCAGTTTTTTTTTTTTTTTTAAGTCTAAGAGCAAATGACTTTAAACATTAAACCTTATAAGTGCGAACTAAAAGCAAGTATAGAGCAGAATGTAAGCTTGGCTCCATAAAATTGGGTCAGCTTTCATTTCACAACCTTCCATCCATAGATCTGATCATAGGGCCGTGGGGCTGATAAGATACTAAGAAGAAAACTAAATACATGTACTACGTGCTTCAACATTACATTAGAAGGGAATTCTGCCCACTATACAAATATTCACAAACATATCTTATATCAAGGTGAGGAGCTGACTTTTACTAGAGGCTGCCTGTCTGATTGGACAATAATTTCTATGTACAAATTTTCTGCACAGGACCATTTGAAAGAATTGAAAAACAGAACTGCTGTTATTACACAATTCGGTTGTTCAACATGAGAAACAGAGAACTTCCACAGCATGCAGATCAGCAAGTACCTGTCATGTTCAGTTCCTTTTTTGAGAACGGAGTTGGGTGAGTTTATCTCTCCATTGAGCTGGATGGGAAGAAAACCTCAAAAGGTTAAATGTTGAACTTTGGTTTGAAGGAAAAGATTGGGAAAGGTAGCCGGACTAGGTTGAAAATCAATAAGAACAAATGATACCTGCATCTCTGTATCTTTCTTCAACGGCAGCAATTAGCATATTGCGGACCAGACCAAACTCTTTGGTTTCAATACATGGTTGACCACTTGGCCTGTGAACATTAATATTTCCATCAGAACCAAAACTGTAGCATGACGAGAATTAAAAAAAAAAGTGCTACATGTGATAGATAATACTCCTCTGTAGAAAGTCCATGCTGGCAGAGAAAACCTAGGTCTAAAATATAATTATAATATTCAACACCCAACAGCAAGGTGCCAACTGGCAGGTTGGTAAAGTTTCCTGCTGGTTGTATTGGAGACTTGGGATCGAATCCCGCCTGCATGTGGGTTGGGGGGGGGGGTTATGGATGTAACGTACTTGTGTATGAAATACAAAACTCTGATTATCATCAGTTCTACCTATCCATCTCCGTAAACAACAAGCCATCTGACAGAGGGGGCTGAGACACCATCTTTACAGGTTCAATAACTCTCATTCCATCATTGTATGCCAAAGACTTGTTAACTTGTATTGGCACCTGCATAAAATTTGAAAAAGCTTTCACTATCATAAATAAGATAAAAGAAGGCAAAAGAGGTGGGGTGGAGTGGGGGAGCAGAATAAACGCATACTGCATAAATTGCGTGTAGTTGTACATGTAAAATATTGCAACATAGATCAACTAGCAGAACAAGATACAATCATGTAGAATCACAAGGAATAAATAAAACATTTCAGGGAACTCCATAAAAATCATGTTTCATTATTTTTTTTATATTTTTTCTAGTCCAACTCTTCCATAGATCCATTCAGGACTTCGTAGACACCCGTTGCTGATATTGAAGGAGACCCTTAGGCTATGTTTGGTTTGAAGGAAAAGGTAGGGAAACCTATACAGGGTTTGTAAAGGTTTCCCTACCTTTCCCTACCTTTTCCTTCAAACCAAAGACAGCCTTAAGCTCCACTAACATCAAATATATCTTCGACTTCAAAAAACATCAAACATATCTTCAGAAACTAGCATTTTCCTAAATAAAATCTTGTTAGGTGGTAACCACTAGAAATGGAAGGCATTATAGGGACAATGAAACTATGGGTCATGGACCATCTTAGATTGGCTTAAGCCCACCTTTACTGCAGCAAATCTTACTGGAATGCAACCTAGTGATTTAGCACTATGTCATGACCTTACTCACCTGTATCAGCTTTTACCATCAATTTTCCATAACCCCCATGCTCTTCTGCTACATATAAATTGGTCCCTTATCACTAGGGAAAACACTGAACGGAACTTCTAGCACTTTGCTGGCTAAACTATTGCAGGTCCAAGAAATTCTTTAATGTCTGTTGTCCATAAAAAGCTAGGTTAAATTCATGGTCAGCTGTCATGATAACCTCAGGTGAAGTATGAAATGTGGGAATCCATGCTCCACTATGAAATAATAATTCAAACATTACATTACACACAATATATCCTTTTACAGCTCTTGCATAAAATATCCTAGGTGAAATTAACAGTCATCTATTCATGATAACTTTAGTTCTTAGGTAAGTTATGAAATGCAGAAATTCATTCCCCATGATAACAGATTTAAGAGGAAAATGTCTCAACTTTTCTTTGGTTTGGTCTCTATTTCAGCTTAGATTTTTGATTTCCTGTTTTTCAGGACCAGAAAAATGATCCCTCTCTGAATCACAAAATAAAAAATAAAGCATTCATTGCCCATCTTCCTGATAGCATTTCCCCTCCTACTCTCTGTTCAAATCCCCATAAGAAACAGAATACCACCATGTAATGTTTGTCACTGCAATTATCCCACTCACTATGGCTTGTTAACTCTAAAGTTACCACCACTCTCAAGCATGGGGAATCAAGTCATTGTGATGACTCAAAATACACATGACTCTCCAATGGCTCCAGTAACTCTAGCCCAAGTCAATTGACTGACTCCTCCAAGGCAACTTCCTTCAACAACCTCCTGGACTTGCCTCAATATTTACAATATATGATTATGATTTCAAAGCACAACTGCTTTGTATGCTTAAGAAACTTAAATGGTAGATTGATTTAGTGTCTTATTCCCTTTCTATGACAAACTTAACTAAAGCAATTAATGATGATTTAAATTCTAAGCACATATAATTTTTGTTGCACAATTCATTGGGAGGGGTGGACTGGATATAAACCTTTTTCTTTTCTTTATTTTTATTATTATTATTATTTTTTTTTTTTGGGGGGGGGGAGGGGCCAAAAGTGGCTGCTCTTAGACTCAAACTCACATTCTCACGTTTGTCAGCCCAAGATTGACTGGTTAATAATACTCACTTCTCACTCCTCGTATTCCTTTATTTTTCCCAAAATTTACCTTGTTATGTTTCAAATTTCAAGTGGTTATTACTCACCTGACACTCATTGCAGAATTTCTCTTGAGTTGCATATCAGCTCAAATATCTTTGATCTATAAAGAATAAAAAAGGATTTATGCAACTGTGAACAAGCAGATTCATCCATGTAGGCATGGGTATACTTTTAAGCCACCACTCCATGTCAAAAAGCAGCTATGGTTTTGCAGCAAACATATCAATTGCAGGCACCGGGGGGTGAGGGGATGAAACCGTCAAGCATTTATCTTAGGAATGGGAAAAAAGGACCTAGTCAAGAAACCTAAGTTGCAATCAGTACACAATTCTCAAATATTTAGAATCAGGTTACTATGTTGTGTATAACAGAATATGATATGCAAATATAATACATATAATTATGTTCAAGCTTATAAAGATATCTAATATGATCCTATGCAACAAGAAGTCTCCATTCATTTTCCAAAAACACTATCAAGCTAGATGCCCACAAAGGCATGCTAAAACCCCAAATACATACTTCTATATTTAATGATTCCATAAGCTGTTTCTATTTAATAATTCAATATCTCTAAACAGTTTTTGTGTAACAACTTCATAATGTATCATACACCCCATTTTCTAGGAAAAAAAATATGCATCAATCAAGATGTGTAACAGAATACCTTGCATCGTACAGCAATGTTAATGGCATCTGAAGGCCGAAGATCAAAGCTGACTCTTATTGTTTCATCACCTATCTGTGAATGTACCCAGAGTATCATCACTGAACTGATTATTATATTTAGAATATCATCTATAGGTGTATAATTAATTAAACAAAGCAGGGAAGGATGATGTAGAAGTTTACCTTTGTAACATATAACTGAGCAAAATATGCTTCATGTACTCTCTTGGTTACTCGAACAAGTTTCACCTGTGCATAAAGAAGCACCCCTTGGCAAGATAGAATGGAAGATCACAACTGAAATATTATATAAATAAGCATCTACAAATATGCAAAACAACAGAGGTCATATAGATAGCCCAAGCTCCATGACTTAAAAAGGACTTGACAGAAGCAAGATAAGTAATACCTCATATCCCATTGTCTCAATCATCTCCTTCATTACTTGATATACAGTAGGCCTAGCCTGAGGCAGAGTTACCAATCTCAATCTCTATTAACAAAACCATTTGATATATAGGACATAAATGCCTAAACCCTAGCTCTTATAAATTTATCATCAGAGAGAAAAAGAAAACCTTCCTAGTTAAGTGAATAACATACAATTGGAACATTGCGAACTGCAGCCATCAGGAAGACACTTGGCATCTCCACTGCAATAAAATAGAAACCAATAGTCATGAGAGAAGTACGACACGGGTTGTAGTCACCTGTTTGGTAGATGATGTATAGTAGGTATTCTTCCAAAACATTAAAAAGACAATCAAATTTTTGTGTACATACAAACAACTATAGGAAGAAGAAGACCACTTCCATCCTCCATCTTCAGTACAATAGCAGGATGTGGAGCATAGTCAGGAAGGTGTCCACCTTGAGGGTTGTTGTGAGCACATCTTACATATCTGCCATCTCGCATTTTTATCACGAAACCATCCGAGCCACTTTTAACCTCAACTACATGAAGGTATCATGAAACATTAATCAGTTTAAGGTGCGCTGAGTATTGAGAATATAAGAAAACACCAAAGTTGATAAAGCAAAGAGTAGCCAGTAGCAAGAAATTCAGAGGTATAAACAAAGGCTTTCGGGAGGAAAGGAGATGTCAACGACTTAATATGAGAAGGGAAAAACAGATTGTCCAATGTTGAACTATACCAGCCTCAACAACACTGGAGTTAACATAGTCTTCGTCGTTCTCATTGAAGTTCTCTGCCATGCTACCGTTATCATTTGATGATGAACTGAAGCTACAGTGAACTGTCCTGAATTTTATCAACGGGACTTTATGAGAAAGAGTCCTCCAGCGTCTGTATGTCCCTTTAGATCCCCAGAACTCGCTTCTAAGAGTTCTAGCTGTCACGAGAGGTCCATTTCCTGACAGAGTATAAGCTCCAACTTGCTTGGCACCGATTGTGGGGCATACAACAGACCCTTGAAGTGTTCCCATCATCCCCCCTTCAAGATGCATAAAGAGAACAGAATAATTAGTGTCCCATACAGAGGCGTAGAAAATTAAAGCTTATCCAGCTAATAGAAATTCATTTAGAAAATAAAATTTCAAGATCAACAGACAATGATGCTAACAACGAAAAGGAGTGGAATGAAAAAGCAAAGCGAAATCGCATTGGTAGTTGCATCGTTTACCAAAAACAATTCAAACTGTTCAGTATTGCCGCACCGACTATTTTGTAAAATACTTGGTACTTGTGTTTTTAGCAATAAACAGTGATGGATGTTTCAAAGGACCACTGTGCTATGTACGGCCTACTTAGCACAAGTCGTTGCAATCACCGTATAGAAGATTGGCGTTGAAAGGGAACAAACCAGAACTGTTAGAACGAATAGGTGTCCCAAATACTGTTAACGTCGAGGATCATACAGAAAGCATGGGCAGAGAACTACTTAAGCAGAATTCTCGACCAATTAACCATGAATTTTCAATGGATTTGCAGGAAAAGCGCAAAATTACAGGAGAGAGGTCATAAATTTCCACTTAGTTCATAACGGTTTTGAGAGAAAATGATCAGAGAAGCAATAAAAGCATGGAATTCCACTACCTGATGAGTTCTAAAATCTCTCGAGAGATCAGGAATTCCTGCAAGTCAAGTTCGATTTCGAACCAAAATTAAACCCTAACTGAGCGTTTTGTGATCGATCGGACAATTTTTTTTTTCGCCTTAATCTACCGAAGTTTCATGCTGATCTTTCAGAATTGAGCCCAAATCCGTAGACAAAATCGGATTTGCAAGGGAAGAAAATGAAATTACCGGCTAACACGAAAGTGCAAATACAAGGCACAGAGATTCTTCAAAATCTTAAAGCTTTAAAGCGATCGAGAAACGAAGAAAATGACTAGGAGGGAAGAGCGTAAACATTCTTTAACCGAATCGTCTCCAATTACAGATTTGTCCTTATATTTGAAGGTAATGGCATCTCAGGCGGTTTTGAATAAGGACATAAGGTGATAAACGCCAGAAATCTGAACGAACCACACCACGGGGAGGTGTGGTACTGTGGTGTCCCACCGAGCACCGACGTGGCGTGCTATTCGAGGTCTACAGAGAACGCCCAGTACACGTCAGCTTCAGAAAGAAAAAAATATTTCCCAGTAAAGCTAGTTATATAACGTACTTGTATGACAATTCCAGCGTAGATTTCCCTTACTTAGGTGGCAAGTTGAGCCCGGACTGATTTGTTTGAGTCACCATGGACAATTGTCTAATTTGTAGGGGATGTCTGGAAGTATTGCTGCTTTTTCTGAAAAAACGGTGCCACGTTGGATCTTCCATGTAGGTGATTTTATAAATGCCTACATACATAATTGTGATTAAAAAAAAACACTGAAAAATGGACATGCCTTATAAATGGAAACACAATCATTGCATGAAACCTTAAATTTGATGTTTTATGTTTTGGTGAACCATTTCCCCAATAATTGGTTGACTGATTGACGATTACATGTATTTTATGTGATGCTTACCTGTCAACATATATATGAAAAATAATAATGAAAATCACTTTACCAACATCAGAATTATTAGTCACTGCTTATGTAACATAAATACTCTCAAACATATAAGGCATGTTTTTGTAAAAAACAGGTTTAATTAATATGGACGGTTTTTTTGAAAATCGTTTATAAAAAAATGCCCACACTTTAATTAAAATGGGCATGCCTTATAAATGGAGATACAATCATTGTATGAAAGGTTAAATTTGATGTTTCATGTTTTGGTGAATCGTTACCCCCAATAGTTGATTGACTGATTGACGATTACATATATCTTATATCTTATGTGATACTTACCTGTCAGCACATATATGAAAAACAATGATAAAAATCACTTTACCAAATATCAAAATTATTACTCACTACTTATGTAACATAAATACTCTCAAACATATCAAGGCATGTTTTTGTAAAAAACAGGATTAATTAATATAAACGATTTTTTTGAAAATCGTTTATAAAAAAACGCCCACACTTTCAAACACCATAGTAGTTTATAGTTTGTACTTTCTAGTTCGGAGTTTGTAGTTTAAGACGAGTGTTCGCGTTAAACGTCGCATGATTCGCATCATCTCTAATATCCGCCACGTTGCAGTCCTATAATCATAGGGGGTAAAGGGCATTCCGGACTTTTGCTAAAAGCGGGTAAAACGAATTTACTTTTTACTCGCTGAAGACTCGGGCAATGGAACGGAAGAAAAATATTCAAAGCCCTCTACAACATTCCACGTGGGCAGTAGAGAAACGGATAAGTTTTTATATTGATTATTTATTTTTCCCTTTTTTAATTGAAAATATCTTTCCATCTGGCATGCATGCAAGTAAGTGCAACATCTTCGATTCTTGGTCACTTTCCGATGTCTATAAATGAAGCTTATCCTTCTTCGGTTCTTCCTTGAATCCGCGTGGCATAAAAGAATATGATTAAATCCAAACCTAATAGAAAACTTCAAAAGTCTAAAGCCATGTTCATTTACCCTGTGTTTGCTAATGAAGGGAGGGATTTACTTCAGACCAAAGAAAATGAAATAGAAAGAAAATTAAATTGAAAATTTGCGATTGAAGACATGGTTGAGTTGTGCTTCTAAAAGATCTTTACCCTATTATTTTATTGATCTTACTAATAACTTCAGTTGTGAATTTTTGATCCCATGTCTCTATTCCATATCCAAAGGGAAGCTGAATGATCATCTCGATGAAATCTTTTACATGACGTGAAATGTTGACAATCAGTTTCTTGGTCTTCACTCATATGTTATCTCCTTTTGATAGATTCTTGGAATGGCCACACAAACATTGGGTTGGACATAAAAAAAATAGGGATTTTTGCATGCACTCTACCTCAGAATTCTGATTTGAATTGCAGACCTATAACAATTTAAATTTATAAATAGTTCCACTTAGAACACCCATATCCGTTCATGAATTGGCATCAATTCTGAGCTGGCACCTACCCTAAATTGTATGATGAAACTAATATTTCAGAGGTGGACTGAATGGTAAAACCCCCCAAAAAATATTGGCAGATTGCCTATTTTATCTATTATTGTCCACTTTAAAATTTCACCTTGGGTAAGAATGAGAAAGAATGAAAAATGAGGCCATGTTTGGTTTAACTCTCATTTTTTCTCATTCTTACCAAGATGAAATTCTAAAATGGAAAAGAATGGGTAAAAATAGGTAGAATGAGAAAATATTGCTATGAACCAAACACTTTTTTTTTTTTTAAAAATGAATTGTTTTCAGTCTGACAAGTGTCCTATGTTGCTTATTTTCATTCTTAAAAAAAAAGTGTCGGTATTCACAAGTTGCCAGTCTAGGTCTCTAATAGTCAATGTTTACCAATTGGTGTAGATGTTTTGTAAAAGTACTTTCATAAAAGTGCTTTTATAAAAGTACTTTCATAAAAGTGTTTTTATAAAAGTGCTTTTGTACTTTCATAAAAGTACTTTCGTAAAAGTACTTCCATAAAAGTAGGGGTGAGCATTTGGTTTTTTTTTGGTTCAAAACCGAATCGAAAAAACTGAAATTTCAAAAACCGAATTAGCTATATTACAAACTGAATCGAAACCGAAATACTTGAAAACCGAATAAACTGAACCGATTTTTTTCGGTTATTTCGGCTATTTTGTTTCAAACCGAAATATTTTTTGTATTGTTATTTAACTTTCAAGAAGAAGAAGAAGTTAATAAATACCTGTTGGCTGTTGTAAGCCTGTAAATTGGCAGTGAAGACTGAAGAAGAAGAACCTAAGAACTCTGCTTGAGTGTAGAGTTCTTGCCTGAACTGCGGTAGTCGAAAGTCGATGAAGACTAAAGAAGAAGAATTGATGAACTCTGCCTAGGTGCAGAGTGCCTGCCTGAATTGTGGTAGTCAGAAGTTGGAACTCGGAACTTAGAGTCGGAAGAAGAAAAAGAATCGAAGAAGGCTGTAACTGGTTGTAACTGTGGCAATCGGAAGTCTGCCTGAGTGCAGACTACTAAGTGCTTGGAGGTTGGAGCTATCGGGCTGGGAGTCTGGGACTTGGGATGATTCTCGATCTTTGCCTCTCTGGAGTCTGGTCTGCTCTTGCTCTGGAGTCTAGAACAGATGATGAGACGATAGACAAACAATGGAACTGCCAAACTAGAAACTAGAAAGTCTGGAAACGCCACAGTGAGGAAGACGAAGAGTCTCTCTCTTTCTATTTTCGATTTTCCTGTTTTGTACTTTACGTGAACGTGTCTAATACGTTAATGTGAAATTGCCTATTTTTTGCTAATTTGGTTAATGGCTGGTCTTATCTTATGGATTTCGCTCTTTCATTATAAGTATATGTATTAATTAATTAAATATTAATATAAAATAATTATAAAACTAATTTGTTTTTTTTCGGTTAACCGAATTGGGAAATATGGAAACCGAAACTAAAAACCGAAATAAACAAAAATCAAATAAAGTAATCGAACCCGACCAAAAATCGAATAAGTCGAACTGATTAAACTGAAACCAAAATTTCGGTTCGGTTTTTTGGTTTTAACCGAATTATGCTCACCCCTACATAAAGTACTTCCATAAAAGTACTTTCGTAAAAGTGCTTTTATAAAAGTGCTTTCGTAAAAGTGCTTTTATAAAAGTACTATAAAAGTGCTTTCGTAAAAGTACTTCCATAAAAGTGCTTTTATAAAAGTACTTTGTAAAAGTAATTTTATAAAAGTGCTTTCGTAAAAGTGATTTTATAAAAGTGCTTTCGTAAAAGTGATTTTATAAAAGTACTTTCGTAAAGTAAGTGCTTTTATAAAAATACTTTTGTAAAAGTGCTTTCGTAAAAGTACTTCCATAAAAGTGCTTTCATAAAAGTGTTTTCATAAAAGTACTTTCGCAAAAGTGCTTTTATAAAAGTACTTTCGCAAAAGTGCTTTTATAAAAGTACTTTCATAAAAGTGTTTTAGTAATGTACTTTTGTAAACGTTCTTTTATAGAAGTGCTTTCATAAAAGTACTTCCGTAAAAGTGCTTTCATAAAAGTACTTCCTTAAAAGTGCTTTTATAAAAGTACTTTTGTAAAAGTGCTTTCATAAAACTATTTTCATAAAAGTGCTTTCATGTAAAAGTACTTTTATAAAAGTGATTTCATGTAAAAGTACTCTTATAAAAGCGATTTCGTAAAAGTACTTTTATAAAGTGCTTTCGCAAAAATAAACATCTATGGCAATGGTTTCCTCAAAGAATGAAATGACCAAGATGGGGCATGATTATTTTTCATGCTACAGGCTAGTCAATTTTTTTTGCCATGGGGCTGATTTTTCATTCTAAAAAGAATGTGGCCCTTGGCAAGAATTTTGTAACCAAACACTCTAAGTTTGCAAAGAAAAACAAACACTCAAGTTACCCTCCCCCCCCCCAAAAAAAAAAAAAGATTTTATTTGTTTATGAGAAGCAAAAATAGTAAAATGATGTACTATTTTTGTTTGGCAGTGTGATAAGAAGCAAAACGATGTACTCTCCACTTTATATGAGAAAGAACTGAGGTAGGAGTCTGATATAAAATTATGAATGCAAATTAGGCTCAATTTGGAAGGAATACAATTACAAACATGTACAGTACAAATACATACAAAATAATATAAAATCCAAAATTTTTCATTCTATATATTTGTATTTATACTCCTTCCAAACTGAGCCTTAAAGATGCAACTTCGTTCAGGTTGGTTTTTCATCAAAATTTGAATGGCCATAGCTGGAAGCAGTGTAAAATGCTAAATTGCGACAACTCAAGTTGCACCTCCAATGCAAATGAAACAAAAATTACAAATTTTGCATCATCAAATAAGAGTATAAATCATAATCATAAACAAATAGATACAAAACTAAATTAGGTGAAAATTTGTTTCTGGTTCAAATTTGCATTGCAATCAAAGAGAGCCAGAGGAATAGAGAGTTTGCATCCGTAGGAGCAGGACCATGTACATAAATTTCAGCCCAAAATATTACAGAAATCTAAATTAGCAATCTTAGGTGCTAAGGTGAAATCACTTCCCTATTATAAAGAGTTAAACATGGTTCTCGATTGGCATTCTGTCACCCATTAGTAACCCAAATGAGATCCGTTTGCTATTTTTGATATACTACAAAAGTACTTGTAGTTGTACTGTTTTGAATACGGGAAACCAGTCTCCATCTTTAACTTTTTATCTTTTCTAATACATACACATTCCAAAGAATAAAATAAAATTAAGGGTGACGGATAGGGACACAAAGCGATGGCATATAAAAAAGGTTTCTTTTTGTAATAATGGTGTTTCCCCTAAAGTTCAGTTTGGAAGGAGTATAAATACAAATACGTAGAATGCAAAATCTTATCTTTTGAATGTATTTGTACTCCTTCCAAACTGAGCCTAAGGCTCCATTTGAAAGGAGTACAAATACAAATATGTAGAGTACAAAATCTTGTATTTTATATGTATTTGTACTGTATATATATTTATACCACTATTTTCAAAACTGGACCAGACCGGACGGTCGGACAGGAAAAATTGGGAACTGGTCACCTGACAGGTTCCGTTTTCCTCCGAAACTGCTTTTGCCCTCAAAACCGTTGATTTTGGTCAGGAAACCGCTGAACCGGCTAGTTAACCATTTGAACCGTTCGAACGGTTTTGACCATTTTCTAATTTTTTAATTTTTTTGTCAAAACGGGCTGGCCATTCGGGTCGAACGGCCAGACCGTTCGAACCGGTAACCGAACCCCTGACCTATTCGTTTTTAAAAACCATGATTTGTACTCCTTCCAAACTGAGCTTTAGATTAACATCAGAAGTACTACTAATGCAGACATTATTTAAATCTAGATAGAAACTCCATGTTGTAAGAGAATGTTTTTCTAAGTTATTCAAAAAAGAGTCTGATCTAAAGATCCAACTCTTACTTATATTAATAACTCTCACCAGAAAATGTATTCAGTTCTTTAAACTCGAATGAAATGAACATGACTATTAATAAGGTCACCAATGAATCTGAATTACACATAAATCATATTAATGGATCAAATTTGGTCTACCCTGTGAAACTTACAAGATGACCAAATTTGCTCCATTACAACATGGTACGTTGTTTCTTCACGAGCGAGAGAGATCAAGTTCCTAACTGGATACGCCTAAGACCATATAACAATGAAAGTGATTTATCTTCCCTAATAATATGATCGTAAGTAGTGAGTGAGCTCCAAACAACAAAAACGCATTCAAGTGCCACCACCGAAGTTAGGAGGCGGCCAAACACCTCCTGCGTCATTGGTAAAATAGGAAGTGCAGGAAAGAGGAACAAGGCAAAGCCCTCTGCTTCTGAGATCTTGCTTCTGCTCATCGTTTCTATCTCCATCACCTGAACCCTGTAATTGTTAGTCAACAAGATGCAAAACATGAGCACTCAAACATGTTTTCCATCCTTGATCATTTATCATTTTTACACAATTTTGGGTTTGGGGTTTTGGGCTCAACTACAACTTGGACTATATATTACTTGGGTTTCTCCTAAGATTTTGATCAGATGAGTAGGCATACGGATATATGGTCATCAAAACTCAAAGGAATCGACTTTCAAAGTAATGGGCCAAATTATCATTGGCCCACTAATTTGCTGCAATGTATTACATTATTTGGCTTTATTGGCATGGTATCAGAGAATGAATTTATAGCCTTCCAGTAAGTGTGAATTTTGTGCGGGCCTAGGATGGGCTTCTTCCTGGAGGCCCAACAATCTAATTTGCGCTAATAGACTTCAAGTCTGCTACACCTAAGACCTACTAAACCATATGACATATAACTGAAAGTTTATTGTGTATCAACTCTACTACTCTAGTGCTAGAAATGACTTTACTCTCTTACCCCTTCCATGGTTCTACAGATCTTGTTACGGGATGACTTCATATATGGCACGCTTAGCGTCTGCAAGCATGTAAATGAGAGTTAGACGCAGAGTAAGTATCAGGGAAGTACCAAAGGAGAAAAATACTAATTAATAATAACAATATTAACAGGAATTATTCCATGGAGGAGAAACATGGCTCGAGCCTCAGGCTAAGGCTACTAGTACAAGGAAAGGAAATAGGATCTCTTACCCACGAAACTCTCTACTCACACCTACCCACAAAACACTACCCCCCGTGCATAATAACATGTAAGAGCATGAGATGTTTCTCATGTGTGGTTGCAATCTCATATAAGTAGGCATGGGTTGAGTCATTGTATCCTAAGAGTAAATCTTGTACAAGTTGGATGCAACATTTACAGCCTGTGTTTACCATAACTTAAAATATATGCTTATATACCATAGAATCGGTGTTTAAGGCTGCATTTGACATTCCTTACTTTATGGATTTATCTCTTTTTTGCTGTTTAAATGCCCTTATGAACATTGGATTTTTAATTGCAAAAAGAAGATAAGTCGTTAAAATAAGGGAGTTCACATCTATGCCCCACAGAGCGCACCCCACAAACACCCCATATGCACATCTCAACATGCATTGGGAACATCTCCCATACTTGTCATCATTGGGAGATGGGAGATGTTCCAAATACATGGTAATGATGTGTGGTGGGGTGCGCTCTGTGGGGCGTAGATGTGAATTCAAAATAAAGAATGCCAAATGTAGCCTAAAACAACAATTCTTGAATGTTGAACAACCAAGAAATTTTTTCACACGACAAGCCTCCAATATTTTTCTTGTTAATCTAATTAATGGGGGCAAATTAGAGCCTAAAAATCCCTTTCAAATGCAAGATAGCCCTTCTTTTCGAGGTTTAGTTTCATGTCAGAATATTAAAACTCTTAGGCTATATATTTTTGGTTTGATAGAAAATCTGAAATAAGTAGAAAGTTGAGCCCTTGAGGGAAAGTTCTCAAGTAATTCTAGGACAATCCTAAACTTTCTGTTTCTCTCTTACTTTATAGTTACACCAAACTAAACATAGCCTTAGTGCATGATCAGTATTATTATATTGCTAGAGTAAAAGGTTGATTTACTTGAATCCAAAGATTGAAGAAATGGATGTGGAGAAGGAAATTAAGATTAAGTACCTCAACCTGGTCTTGGAGAAATTTAATGTATCCAATTGCCTCCATTAGTACGGACGCTGTGTCCGTCTGTAAGTAGTTCCACAATTCCAAATACATTATGCGTTAGCCATTTCTCAAGACAGAAAAAGAGAAAAAAAAGGAGAAACCAACAGAAAGAAACTTATATCCACCTCCACGCATTCAATATCATAATATCCTTACTGTGGAAATGCCTTATATTCATTCATCATTTAATAATAATAATAATAATAATATTGTTTGTAATTTAAATGGTTCGTATATACTGCAACTGTACTAATACTAGCAGGAAGATCAAGAATAAATAATAAAACATAAGCGCATTAATTTGTAGCAACAAATATATGATACTCATGAGGCTCATCAACAAGTTTCATGGGTGTCTTCATCGTCTGTCAACGTTTGATGATAAGTCAGTGGGGCAACAAATGGGATATATTTTGCAAGAGGGGGGGGGGGAATAAGATGGTGTATGTGACCAAGGAAGTATCTGAAGCAGAAGTAAAGAGCGGTATTCTAGTAAAAAGTGATAGCTTTTGTTAAAATATATATTATTATATTTTATGATGATGGACGAGAGATGATTATGATGAAGGGAAAAAAGAAAAAAAATGAAGAGGCTAGGATGAACCTTGCCGAAAGGTGACACCAACTGCTGAAGAGCTGCAATTCTGTCTCCTAGTTTCTCCTTTCTAACCTGGTCGATCGAAATGCCACCACACAAGCAAAAAAGCAACGATAAAACATTAGAGAATAATAATCCTGGTTGTTTCACCAATTTATAATATGTTTATATCTAGAAGCAATTCATATATAGTTGTTGAATATTGGCACCTTAAAGGGGGGGAACGATGAGCGCGACTCAAACCGAGGCTTCTTGGTTGCTGCCTGAGATACTTTGGGCTCTGAAGAATTGCTTGGTTTCTTTGTTTCTGTAACTCGATTTGTGAAGGATGATACCTTTGAAATGAAAAGAAGGTAGATATCAGTTGGTTGATAAAGGAAATACCCATCATCCAAGTTTTCCAAAGGGAGTACGCGGATATGCATAAAGCTGATACTCCTTATATACAAGTAGAATAAATTAAAAGAGAAAGATAGAAAGATAAAAGAAAAGAAAAGAAAAGGGCGCTAGCTTTTACACTCTTATTATCTCTGCATTTTTTTTTTCTATTTAGTGCCTGTATAATAGTTTTTGCATTTTGGTGGTAAACTTAGAGAAACTGTAGCTAACTTGGTTACTCGATCGAGATGTACAAAAAGTGATCACACTGCTACATGTTAGCGCAGATTACAGTAGTCTAATCTCAAAATAACACTTGACATAAAAAATGACTTAGAGCTTAATGCAGAACGCAGATGATGATAAAAACAACAATAACATAACGACGATGGGCGTGGTTATAGTAATATTACTGTGAAATCTACAGGCAGTTAGATCAGCAGGGAGAGAGAGAGAGAGAGAGAGATGCCCACTTTATTCGGACTGTTGAATGATCTAATTAGACTGGATTGCTGTAGCTGGTCGACACCAAAAGATAGACTATCTCTAAGCATGCCGAGATGACTAGGTGAAGGCTGCTGGGTAAGACTTCCACCAAATTTTGTAGAGCTCAGAAAATCCAAAGCTTGCAAGTTCACTCCCAACGAGCTAGAAAATGGCAAAGAAGATGAATACATGTTGGAGATATTTATACTTGGAAATATCTGGCTGAAGTTCCGTCCGCCACTAGATGGAGGAGGCAAACCTCCAAAGCTGCTGGTGCTGGCACAACTTTGGGCATCAGCGTACGATTCTCCTGCAGAATGCTGGAGTGTGTTGTTTTGACAACCTGAAGCCAAGGTTTTGAGCAACATCTTATCAGTTGGATTGTGACAACTTTGTTGCTCATTTTTGACGTAGCTGGTGGAAGGCAGATGAAACTCTTCTACATTTGAAACAGTTTGGCTTAACTTTGGAAACGAATCTGATAACTCCTTTATTTTTGCTAGATGTGGTTGATGGGAGGAGTGATTAGTGAAGCTCCCTGATGCATTACTGTCCCAGTGAAAACCCAAGTCTTGAAACATGGAATTGTTGACAGAAGAAGAAATTAGTGTGTCACTGTTTTGTCTTAGATCCCTTGAGTTTGCTAGAACTCCACCTATATTTTGATTGAAGCTACCGTCATTCCTGCATTAGCCGATTCACATCAAATATATTATAATTTAATTCTCAAAAATAAAAATGTAATTATTATAACAAGTAAAAACCCTTGAAAAGCTTCAAACTACTACAATGAAATTAATGGAAAAAAAAGAAAAGAAGCTAGCAAGACTAAGATCCTTTCTTTGTAAATAATTGGTTACCAATAATCCGATTAGTTTTTTTTTTCTTTTCTTTTTCCCACAAGGAAGCTAGGTTTCCGTTAGTGGGAATAACTAATCCCTAGATCCCAGAAAACGTAACCCTAGCTAGGAAAATAAACCATACGCAGCTTTTTCCATTCTGAATGGTAGGTGCTGAAAAATCTGGTAAAAGAAAAACGAAGGAAATAGATTTCAAATTCTGATGGTGTAATAAATAGCTAGCCAAAATTGATGGTTATTGCTAAACTCAAAGCTCAGGCAAGTAAATCCAAATTCTTGGAATAAAGCGTGTGGGTTGACATTCATACACGGATTTGGAAACAAATAAAATAAGGCAAGAGAGATAGATAGAGAGAAAGTATAGAGTAGGGGTTATCGAAAATCTAGCAGCAGGGATGATTGAACTTACAAAAGGTTTGAGTTCCAAGCATGGCTGTTGCTACCAACTCCATAGAAAGATGGTGTTGCTAAAGAAGGAGAACCAGCAACTAGTTGTTCTTGGAGCTGATGATGTTGGTGATGGAGATTTGCAGATTCCATGATGAATTTTTTAAGGGCTTGAAAATCCCAAGATGCGTAATTAAAATTTAACTAGCTCCAGGAATCTCTTTATCTTCTGAAAACAGTTCAGTTGACACCCACAAACCTTTCTTTTAGCTACTTTTTTTTTACGCCGTTTCCTCTTTACTCTTTCATGTCTCAGTTTAAAGTAGTCATAAAAAGAAAGGAAAACAACAAAAGTGAATCAACCATTTCAGCAAACCTTCCTCCCATCCTCCCCTAGCTCCCTCCTGCTTTCCTTCTTTTTCCTTTCGGCCAAACTTACTGCAACGCTGCAATGAAACACAGAAAATCACCTCTCTCTCTCACTGATTTTTTTTCTTGTTCTTGTTTTTTTTTCCTCAAACGAGGCTTTTTGCACACTCTGCAATTACAGGGAGATGATTATACTCTCTTGACGCCATTATTAAAATACCTGCCTTCGATCCCAAGGTTTTCTACAAAGGTATGAGGAAAGAAATGATAGCAGCCATTTGTTCTCTGTCTCTCTATCACTCTATGGTACCACCTTCTCCTCACCATATATGCCCACATATCTTATATTGCGAATCCAGGAATAGCAAATGGGTTTGGTCGGGTCGGATCGGGTTAACTCAAAGCCAGTAGGGACGAGTCAATCCTAGCTAGCCCAAGAAATAAGATTGCTGGTCCTGAACTACTTCAGTTTGCATTGAGAGTTGAGAGTTGAGATAAGCCAAACCTAATCCGGCTGGCCGGAGAAGAGAGGCATGCAGGTGGGTCGGGTTCCAAAATAACCCACCCATATATAAATTGTCTATATTCAAAGAATGCAATAATATAGCGAGTGAGTGAAAGGGGAATGGTAGTATCAACTCAACAGAAACTACTCACGCCTGCTCACTCAACATTCAACAACCAGGGTTTGAGGGTCCTATCTCCTTGCTGTCAAGCTCTCGAACCCACCACAAATGGAAAGTTGAAGGCGCCCAATGTCCCAATACTCGATAATGTAGCCTATAGAGAGTTTCAACTGGTCATCATGGTTAGTGTGTGGGTCATCCCATTGTTCCCGGCCCTTTGGACGGCGGAGATTGATGCATGTTCCTGTGAATTATGGGTGGTGTAATGCATCATATATAGTACAATTCACCACTGTTAATATTGAGAGATAAAAGTCATCAAACTTTACCGGCACTGAACAACAGAAGTAATTTTCACTAAATTTAATGCAAGAAAGAAAAGCAACCTATTTACTCATTGTTCTTATCAAGTAGTTTACAAGTAATTACGAAAAGTTATATATATATATATATATACACGTAGGAACCAAGGAAAGTGCTCACTCCCACATCATATTTACTGTATATAATGGCGCGATACTTGCTTGGCTTCACGTCCAGACTACCATGCAAAAATAATATTAATACGTTTTACTTCTCTACTCACTATCTCTCTTTTTATTTTCTTCTCATCCCATCCTACCATCCTATTCATCATTTGGTCTCTCTCCTTTTGCACGTGTCACTCAAAATAAATGTGAACAAGATAGAATCATCCTTCTCTTTTCTCTTGTCAACGTGAAAAGGGATTTTTTAGACAATACATGCGTTGTACAATATGGGATGGCCCTTCCCCGATCTCTAGCTAGTCAAGGCAGGATTAGATTCCAAGTCTTTGCTACAACGCAGCTAGATATCTTATAATTATAATAATCTGGTTGGCATCTTTATTATGAGAGGGAGATTTTAATTAGAGCTGTAATTAGATCAGATTCAAGTACATTCAAATTCAATCTGATTATTGAAATTTCAAACCTAAATCTGATCATTTGGATTTTTGATCAAATTTGGATTTTTGGATTGGATTTGAATTTAATTTGATTCCGCTCTATTGTTATTAAAATAAAGAAAATTTTAGAAATATTTCTTTTTAAATATATAAATACATAAAAATATATACAAATTTAGAATATTATACACATATATATAATTTGACTTGGATTTTTATCGATGTATGGAATCAAATCTCCATCAGACGGGGTTACTAAACAGATTCAAGTTCTAACATCCAAATTTGAATCATTGGATGGAATGCTTGACCAGGTATCAGATTTTAGGAGTTTACTTCTTGACATCATTAGTTTTATTTATAATATTCTCAATATATCATGTTTTAAACTAGGGTTTTAGGAGTTACTAAACTAGGGTTTACTTTAGTAAACTACGGTTTCTTTTTTGCATTTTATTTACTCTCTGCTTCAGTCTTCACTCTACTGTCACCCTTTGTCCTCTGAGCCCTCTATCCTCGAGTCAAGTCAATACTTAAGTATGTTGAGTATCTCATTGATTTGAGTTCAAATAGGAAAATAAGAACAGTAAGTTTAACTTGGCTTGTCTCAATTTCACCCCTAGTGAAAACCATGTTAACTGTGAGCCCCAACCCTTTGAGAGGAGAAGAAGAAAAAGAAAAAAAGAGTATTTCGAAAATCATTTAATTGTGGGCCTGACCCTTTGAGAGGAAAAGAAGAAGATGAAAAAAATACACACAAACATGAAAGCATTAATGCATGCTAAATAATATTATCTTAGCATAAAGGTATTTTGGTCATTATACATGAGGGCTCATGATGGGCAAAATATCTGCAAGGGGTAATAACCAAATTACCCCTTCATTAATTGAAACCTAAACCAAGGAGAACAGTTGAAACTAAATTGGATTTCTAAGATCCCCCTAGTTAAATCTTGGGATCCATAACTGGTCGCTTGTTGCATATTTATTAATAACAATTGCCACGTCAACACAATTAATTGTTAAACACCCCCTTATAAAATCAAAGAACAACCACTGATTGATCCCGCCACATTTAAAGAAAGAAAAACCATCATTATTAAGATGAATTTTAACCAGCTACTTTGTACGTTATTACCCTAGCTTTCTAAAGAGTTGTAGGATAACATCTAATGAACTCAGAGTTGCAATCATTTTCCGACCAACTAGTCTCAATGCTGGGACCAATTCATCAATGCCGGAGTCCTGAACACACCTGATGAACTCTAGTTGAGTTAATCTGAGACATCCATCCTCTCTGGAAGAAATAGTCTTCCCACTCCACTCAACAGCCAAATATATATAATTCTTTTGACTTTCAAATTTCAAGCGTCAACAAATTAAACCATAAGAATTAAGAAAACAGCCAAACGTTCCTCTCCTCGTTGTCTTCTCCCTCTCCGGTTCCCCCCCAAAAAGCCGGGTCCCAGCCTCATCGGATAGGATGTTTTATTTAGAGCATGGGTAGGACAGCAGGAGCTCTTTTAGCATCCTGCCGTACTGAAGGAGTACCCATTGCTGAGTTCCCCACAGTTGTATGGCACTGGGGTAGTGGGGATTTAGATAATCATACGATTCCCGAGGATCACTCCGAGTCCGAGGAGATAAAATGTGGGACCTTTGTGGATGACTTGGTGGTATAATATGATGCCACCTCCAATTCGAACAACTTTTGGCTGTTTGGAATAAAAAACTTGCACTGTTTCAGGGTTTACTCTGCATGACACGTTACCAATTTACCATGGGTGTGGGGTAAGAGAATACTCGCAGTCAATCAATATTCTTTTACCCATAAAGACAAGTAAAGAAGGTAATGTATCATGCGCACAGGAACCTAAAAGGGAGCAGCCCAGGCTCTTCTTCATTCCAAACAACCAAAGAGTATTTTCTCTCTATATATTTTCAAGGGGAGATTGACATTCTTTTTGTGCGGTTTTTTGGATTTTACAAAATTTGGAAGTAAAACATTTAGACTCCGTTTGACGTGTCTTTTTGTATGGTTTATCAGTTATTTATAAGCCTGATAGACCACAATTCGGTTTTTTCTCATTTAGTTCATGGTAGATTTAGCTATCAAACAGTAACGTGTTAAAAAGATGCGAGAGGCTCAAAACGGGCATTTGTGAGAAACTTCAAATGAAACTTCTGCATTTTTTGTTTTATTCATTTTCACATAGAAACACTTGTCTTTAAGTCTTAACCAAATAGACTTCAGGCTACTCAGATCTTAATGTAAAAGCTTAATATATCTTTTAACTATCAAAACTATCAGAAGATGTTCCAAAAATACTTGGCAAACAACCGCTTAATATTTTTTCCTTTGGTAATGAAAGAAGAAAATTCCAAACAGAATCAATCAAGAAACTTTAAATGGATATTTAAGATTTTTATGAAAAAACTGCCAAACAGCACCTTACGGTAACATGATGTCATGCATTTTGATGGCTAGCATAAGCATAAGATAGATTGGAATTAAGAATTCGGATAGAAGAGTTGAGGGTTTTGGAGACTGTGAAGGTGTGCCAAAAATTAATGAGTGAATGAATGAATGATCAAAGTTTAAGCTGTCTTCCTTGAAAAGAAGTTATATAATAATCTGATCAGCCCCACCAAAGTTCACGACAGACGAAAGTTGATGAGAGAATATACATGAGATAGGAGGGTATGGGCAAGTCTGCCTTTGCTTTTATCTCTCTCTCCCTATGACCGTGCCAGTGCCCATCCATATACATCTTGTTTTATTTTATTCTATTTATCTATTTTTAATATTTTATTCGTTTTATTTTTATTCAAAGCCTCTATTTTCCATGTAGCATATTATTTAAACGGTTTCTTTGCCTTGTTTCCTTCTCACAGTTTTCGTTTTGCCTGATCTTGCTTTCTTTTAAGATTTATTTGTGAAGTGCGGTTTTCTAAATTAGGATTTTATCACAGATTCTCATGTTTCAATGCTTTTTTGTAACACAATTCTGTGTTGTTTTGCCCATTTTTATTCTCTTTTTGGTTGGCAACATTTGTGATATGTAAAGTTGTCAAGATCCCTTTTCTTTTTTTTTGTTTTCTTTTGAATAACATTAATAGCGATCATTCCCTTATAGGTAACAAAGATACCATGTGTTCAGTTATCTCTTTGTCAAATATTTGTTTCTTTGTCAATATCAATGTCTTGAAAATTAGATAAAAAAAAGTTCTGTGTACCAACCCAATATGTTCAGACCAATAGCCAGAGCTGGATCCAATTGTAGACTCTAATCTACGTAATAGTAAAATAAATATGGAAAAATGAAGTTTTCATATTTTTATCTATTTTTCCTACGATTTTATTAATGTTTATTTTATTATCGTCAACATCATCATCAAATGTTTCCATAGGTTCATTACTTGAGGAAGAAGGATGTCTTTGTCATTGTTGAGTTGTGCCATAATATTTATTTTTATAAATATGCATATTGTAAAAAAGAATTCAATAACGATTCATTCACTAATATTGGTTGAAAGTTAAATCCAGATCTATACTAAAATCTGCTTATTTTTTGTTGGTCCATGTTTCATAAAATATATTTTTACACTTAATAAGATATATTTAACTTTATTTTCAATTAATCATGTATTTTTCACAATGCAATGGATGAACTATGGATTTTGCCTTGTAAAAATATAGAAGTGATATACTATGGGCCTTGTATTTGAGGTATCATCTACTTGATATACCAAATTTAGGAGGAAAATCAAATATAGAACCATCAAATAATGTTGGAAAAATAGTCTGATAAAAGAATGTCAGAATGCAAACTAATTGTCCCATCCTGCTTTTTATTAAAGTGATTAGATGAGATGCTTTCAGTCATTAATATCTAATCATTGTATGAACATTGGGATTCGATAAATTCTTATATTATTTATTTTAGAAATAATATAAAA